CTCAAGGCCTCTGGCTACAGGGGGGCTGCTAGCGTTCCCTCCCACACCTGTCGCTCCTGTAGTGAGGCCGCTGGGGTTCACTGAAAGCATTTCCTGATTTTAGAAACAGGAATCACCGAGGCTGCGAGTACACCAGGAAGCGGGAATATTCAAAGTCAACTAGACACAGTGTACTAGCCTTTTATTTCATTCTGGCTTTCTTCTCTTTTTCTTTCCAGTTCCTTTCGGTCATAATTTAACCTTCGCAGGCACATAATTCCACACTGGAAACTGTTTCTATTTACAAAAGAAAAAAAAAGTTTAGAGATGGTGACAAACACCTATTAGCTGCTTCGTAAGAAGCTGTGATGAGTCACCTGTGAAAACTGTCCACCATCTTCAGTTGCCCCCGGAGGTCTTTCTTCGTCAGGTGGTCCAGCATCCGCGCGTCCACGAGGCACTCCATGAAGTAGCTGCGGTACTGCGGGAGGCCCAGGCTGGGCAGCCACTCGTTGCCAATCCACTCGTGGTTCATGTCCCCATAGGCGAGCGTCTGCTTTCAATGATTAATATGATCAGTTCAGGAAAAGGTCCACGGAGGAGGCTATAAGGGTAGCTTAAATCATCTTTAGACTGGATTTTTAATCTATGACAGTCTCAAAGGCCAAACTAACTAATGACAACATTGTTCTTTATAATTTCAAAATAATTTGATCTACTTACTACGTATTAAATTTGCTAGTAAAATTTTGTACCAAAGGAATTATACCATTAGAAATCTATGACTAATCTACTTTGTTTATAAATGTAAGCTATTTACCAAAGTACAGTGAAACTAACTAACACATTGTCTTTCTGAAATAGCTTTTATATTTAACAACAAAGGATGATCACGGCTCATGAACAAGTTTGAAGGATAAACCCCACTCCACTTTGTAAAAATATCCCTGGCTGGTTTTAATTTTATTTTAACACCCTCCCCAACCCAAATTTCCTTAACAAAAACATCTGTTAATTTCAAGATCTATTTAAAATCCTAATTAAAACATAGTTTTAAAAGAAGAGATAAGCAGAACAACTGACAGACTGAAAAGAGAAATAGGCAAATCCACAGTTGTGGTCAGAAGGCCTCAGCGTTTGGCTCTCAGACCAGCTCAAACACACACCAGCCTCAGGAAGGGCACAGAACCCCCAAACCGCACCGTCAAACTCCATCTGACCCGACACTCGGTAGGACACGCTGCCCACGACAGCAGAATACATCCTCCTTCACGTGCTCTGTAACAGAAAAGCCCTGACCTATTTAAAGAGATGGAAATCATACAAATTATGTTCTCTGACCTCAACAGAATTAAATTAGAAATCAATAATAAAAAGATATCTAGAAAACTCCCCAAATTTGGAAATCAACATACTTTTAAAGAACCCATGTGTCAAAAGAGAAATGACATGGGAAATGGGAAAAGTTAAATTAAATGAAAGTAAAAACAATATATTAAAAACCTGTGGAATGCAACTAAAGCACTGCCTTGAGGGAAATTTACTTTTAAATACTATAAATGAAGAAAAACTGCAAATCAATAATCACAGATTCTACCTTAAAAAATATGAAAAAGAACAAATGAAACCCACAGCAAACAGAAGAAAATAAAAGAGTAGAAATCAATGAAACAGAAACTAGAAAATAAAATGATTGAATTAAAATCTAGCTCTTCATAAATATTAATAAAATTGACTAACCCCTAGACAGAGGGATCAAGAAAAAAGAAAAGATAAATTACCAATATCAAGAATGAAAGAAGGGACATCAGTACAGACCCTATGGATATTGAAAGAATAATAGAAAACTATGAACTTCAGCAACTTAGATAAAATGGCCTAACTTCTTGAACAAAACCTATGAAAGCCACTCAGTAAGAAACAAATACCCTGTATCTATCAGAACTTGAATTTATAGTTATAAACCTTCACACACACGCACACACACAAAATGTCTACTCTAAATGGACTCACTGGTGAGTCTTACCAAAAATTTATGAAAAAAAGACTAATTCTACACAAACCATTCCAAAAATGTGAAGAAATGCCTAACTCATCCTGTGAGGCCACCATTATCCTGATACTAAAACCAGACAAACGTATTACAAGAAAACTACAGGCCAGTATCCCTCATAGACACAGATGTAAAATTCCTTAACAAAATATTAGCAAATCAAATAAATTATAAATGAAAAGAATAAGATATGACAAGTGGGGTTTAATCCCAGGAACATAAGGTTGGGTCAACATTTAAAGATAAATGAAATTCACCGTATCAATGGACTGAAAAGAAAAACCACAGTATCATTCCAAAAGATTCAGAAAAAGCATCTAACAAAACTCATCATTTATTTATGGAAATCTCGGCAATCTAGGAATGGAAGAAAACTGCCTCAACCTGATAAAGGGCACTTACAAAAAATGTTGAATTGACATCATAATGGTGAAAGACTGAATGTATTCTTCCTAAGATGAGGAAGAAAGTTAAGGAAATCTGCTCTCACCCTTGTCATTAAACACCGTACAGAAACGCCTAGCCACGGCGACAAGGCAAGAAAAAGAAGTTAACAGCATATGGATTGGAGAAGAAAACTCTTTATTTGCAGATGACCTGATAAGCAAAACAGAAAATGAATCTACACAATAGCTTTTAGAACTAAAGTTGAGTCTAGCAAAGATTGCAGGATACAAGGTCAATAATCAAAAATGAACTGTGTTTTTCTGAATACTAGAAATTTTTAAAATACCATTTATAATGTCAATGAACATTTCATAATGTATATAACTGTCGAACCACTATATTGTACACCAGAAACTAATACTGTATGTCAACTATACTTCAATAAAAAGATAATCTGGGGAAAAAAATTTATGCCATCAAAAGCCACAAAATCATAAGGGAAAACTCTAACAGATATGTGCAAGAGTAGTACAATAAAAAAGAAATAAACACATTATATGTATATACATACAGATCAAGGAAAGGCATCTGATATTCCAGTCCAAGAAAACTGAGCTACATTCACAGTTTATTAGCTACATTATGTCATCTTTGGAAACAGTAACTCTCAACTACCACTGTGCTTGAAAATATGGGCTCTGACCTTATTTATTATTTATATCAACCAAGCTGGAAGTGACAACTCCAACTCCAACCAGAACGCTCGAATTCTAATAGAAAAAAATGTCTCAGTACTTTCTTTAAACTACTGTTAGTGAGAAAAACATAAAACATTTTTGGGAAATCATCACAATAGGTATTTTGCATTCTTTCAAACCTTATTCTCATTTCATAGGCCTGATACTTACAGCATGAGTATCTGGTATTGTTTTCTTGCCTGCTGATTATGTATTTTTAAATGGACACAAAGTGAAGAGAAATTTCTAGAGAATTCCATGTAAGAAGAAAGCCCATTTTTGTTCACTCATTATATACTCTATCCACGCTTCTTAGGCAGTCAGTAATGTGAGCTCCTGGAAGGATTGGCTCCCTTGCAGAGAGACTCCCACTCCTGGGCTGTCACCACAGCCTTCTGAAAAAAACACACAGCAGGGTCCTCTCCTGGCCAGAGAACCTTTGGGCTGGAGGACACAGCCGTGCACAGGGTCTGTTTGTGCCGTCAACAAAGTGTTCACAGACACAATTCAGTTTTGTAAACTGTGAAATGTGAGGGACCTGGGCAGGCACTGGCTGACAGCATCCGCCACGTGGAGGCACCGGGGCTGTGGGCAGGCCCTGACACTTCCTCCCCAGGAGCCCAGCCCAGGGGTGCACTGTGTGGCCCCTGCCGTGGGCAGCACAGGGCTGACACACAGAAGCCACGGAGCCCCCCCATTTCCCGCTCGTCTGGAGCAGGGGACGAGGCGGAAGCAGCCCTCGCTCATGCAGAAGGCTGAGCACCTGCTGGCCGGCATCCTCTGCACGGCTCATCCTCGTTTATGTTTCCACAGCAAAGAGCTGACCTTCAGCTTGATTAATTTACACTTTGTACCCGGCACGGGGATTTCACACTGAAGTGCTTGCAAAATTCTGCTTCTAAGTGGAAATTACACTGACATTTACGTTATTGTGAAATGCACCTATTAATGGTCATTATCAACCCTGTAAAGAGGTATCTGACTAGGTAAGAACTGATGAGGATATTCATCTGAAGCGGTGATACAGAACGTCTGAACTGAGAGGTGGGGAAGGGAGCTCACAGAATCTTATTATAGCTACTTTCTTTCTGTAAAATAAGAGGCTATGACTGGCTTTACTTTACGAGTACAGATCGAGGGGAACAGGTGTTTTAACCATCAACTTGCAATCAGGAAAATTCTGATTTAAAATTATTTTGGCATTTTTCAGATATACAATTATCCTTTTCAGGTCCTTGAAAATGATGCCAGGCAAACTGGCTGTCCACACCTTGCAGCCTCTGTTTTGTTGCTAAAACGTTGAGTATGTCATACAGCGATGTTGGAATCACATGTAGGGACACCACTGTTTTTAATCAGAGTGAGGCTGTAAAACACTTGTGACAGAGTTTTTTGTGAGTTGAAGGGCGAGGAGCTAAAAATTCAAATGCATATTTAACACGAAGAGGCTTAATTTCTGAGGGTTCCATTAGTGAGAAAGCCTTTATTTAGATCACTACAGTATTAGGATAGTAACACCCCCAACACCCCCACAAAGACAACCCTTACATGGAAAATTTATTAGAATACACTTTTCCCATTACATCTTGTAATAAAAGCTATCCCACCAGGGACCAAAATATATAACCTCAGGAGCTGCCAGCCACAGGACTTTGTATAAAAGCCATACATTGAACAAAGCAATCTGTCAATCAGCATTAACCACCACGGCTCCACACGAGAAATGTTCAAAATTGTCCATGAGACGTACTCTCTAATCCTATGCTTTGCTTAGACTAACACCTTAAGTCATTAACAACATTCTAAATAAAGATGTTAAAAATGTCAAGAAAAGTAAATTACAAGTTTTCATACTCCAATTCTTTTTGTTGCTGTACATATAGTGAAGAATATATTATAGAAAGTCTCCAACCTGAGCCCAGCTTCCCTCCTCATCTTCCTGACGTTACGTGGTTAGGAATGAAAAGAACATAACCGTTAGTGCGGGCGGGCGGCTGGGGGGGAGGCGCGGCGTGAGCGAGCAGGAAAGCCCAAAGCGATCGAAGCGCCGTGCACAAGCCATGCAGAAGCGTCCACTCCGACTCTCATGCGAGGAGCCGGCGGCCCACGCGAGCACATCCGTGAAAGGAGAAAACGAGGGTCAGAACATCACAACGGGGTGCTAAACCAAGGTCTCCCCCCAGGGAGGTGTGGACGAACTCTATGCTACACAGGGTGAGTCTACAGCTTTAAGTTCCCGAGAAAGCCTAGAGATGAAACATGAATTGCGTTTTACTTTTAACTGATACCTGAAGTAAATACTTATGCAGAACATTTTAATGTAAACTAACATTTCTGTTTTCCAAAAAAAGGCCAAGACTCGTGCGGTTCTGGGCAGGGTGTACTGAGGGGAAGACCAGCTCAGGCAGAGACTGACCGTTTGAGGCGTGGCTGCAAGCGTCTCCATCTCCTCGTGCGTTAACCAGACATTTCCTGTGGTCTAGGGAGACCCCGTGGCCGACCACATCCCAGGCAAGGGCGGCAGTGACAAAGAGGAGAGGTGGCAGACACGTGAGCCACAGGCACACAGGAGGGGCAGGTGGGGCAAAGGCCGGGCTCTTCGCCTTCGCACTTTAGGTGGCCACACGGACAGGGACAGACAGTCACACAAACTCAGCCCCCCTCAGAGAAACACTGTGCCTGACAGCATGGTGTCACCCACAACGGGGCAGCCCACGGTCTCTAGTGCTCTGTTTGCCACGCTTGCCACATGACGTGTGAAATACAAAGAGAAGAAATACAGTCTGTACTTTTGAGGAGTGTCGGCGATTCCCAAGTTGACTGTTGCATTGACATATTCCAACCTGAGCCCGGCACAAGGAGCACAGGACAGGGCCTGGCCCTGAGTCACAGGGCGCAGGGCGGAGTCAGCGGGTGCGCTGGCGCCTCTGGCACCCTTGCTCGGGGGAGCCCAAGAGGCAGGGGCAGGGGTGAGGACATCAAGAAGAAGGCCCAGCCATCTGGGTGTGCACGCGGGCGCCCCTCCCCGCCTAGGCACCGCAGCCCTGGGACGGGAGGGGGGAGGCCTGCTGGGCCTTGGGGCGCAGGGCTTCCTCGGGGGTTGCTCTTCCTTGCCGTACTTAAGTACCTTGTCAAGATGGTGTACAGAACTTTGGGAAACCCACCCAGCACCTTTATTTCTAGAAAGGACACTCTAACTTGAAACATTTGGCTGCCAGCTCTCAGTCTGTGCTGCCAACACTGGCTCACAAGAGACGCAAACAGAAGAGCTTGTGACCCTCGTGTGCAGAGTGACTCTGTGCCCAGACTCAGGCCTTCACCAGCCACCCGAGGCTCTGCGCTTCCCCGTCAGAGGGCTCTTCTGTCCAGGGCGGACTGAGCACAGAGGGGGAGCCAGGTGGCGGGAACAGCCTGTGCTTCACGAGGAGCTGGCCTGGCTTACCTCCCGATACCACGAATGTTCTCCTGAGGTTAGGTTTTGACTCTTCCAACTAGGAGGGCCCTTTTTAGGACTTCTGACGTCTTAGGTCTGAGCACAGACACCGCCTGGTACACCGGTGTGCGCCTGTACGTTTGCTGTCTGCTGAGTGGCCGGAGTGCCCAGGTCTAGAGCCCCCGGGGAAGCACCTCCAGGCCACACAATGAGGGAAATGCCGGTTACATTGCAACTGGGAGCTAAGCTTTTTCCCCTTCACTGTCGATAATTTACATTTAAATTTGTGACAATTACTTTCCTACATATTCAAAAACCTCTCATTTCTATAATGCCACTATAGCCAAACTGTTATAAAAGTATTCAATGAAGTTTCTTTTTACCCAACTTACAAATTAGAATCATAATGCTTTTGGATGCTAACATTTTGAACCAGAACACTGGGTCTGTGCAGAGGGAACCAGAGAAGCGGCACAAACTGGACGAACTCTTTTCAGGAAGCCTACCGTTCGTGACGTGGGCGGCGCCGAGGGGCTCGTCAGGGACATGATCTCCTGGATGGCCAGCCGCAGCTTCAGCCTGTGCAGGGGGTTGCTGATGCCGATCTCGCGCTGGATCTCTGTGTCTGACAGGGCGGACATGATGGCCCCGCTTTTCACGTTGGCCCGGCAAGCAGCCACGTACCAGGCTGGCATCCCAACCCAGAGCTGGAGGTGGGAAATGTCAAGGCCAGAAGGTCATGCACAGTGCACAAATGGCTCAATCTTTCCACATATGTAACGAACTCAGCCCAGCACCAGAGGGACGCACCTCCAGCCAGACGACGACGGTCGGCCCGTCCCACTGTGCAAACGGTAAACCTTGTCTTCGGGCTTCTTCGAGCAATTCATGCCTACAAACGAGACATTCAAAGTTAAGTCGTCGCCACATTACATGCCAGTGTGATGCCACACGGCCCACTTAGCGGTACTTGGTATACATTGCAAATACAGCCTGAATGAGGAAATGCAGAATTAAAGAATTATTACCAAGTCATTCAAGGAACATAACCACTTTTCCATTTTTGAACAAGGAGGAAACTGTGTAGGAGAGGAGACTATCCCTGGTTTTGAACAAAGGAGCATCCCATGAAAGCGTCAAAAAATACCCAGCATTTAACGACGACACCACAGTGAACAACGCAGAGCTTAACACCCCCTGTGGTCTAGCACAGCGGGCCACGTGCGGGGCGGGCTGCCGGCAGTTCTGCTCTGCACCGCTCCTTGGCCATTAGCTCTAGGCCACGGGGCCATCCTGTGGTGTAGTCCACAGGCTTTGCATCCAGTTTACATCCCAACAACTGTGAGCAGTACACACAGCACAGACGGTGAGCCTCAGATACAGATGGGACACCAGTTACCTCAGGGCAGGAAGCGGGGAGGAGGCCGGGACCCCTCGTGGGGTCAGAAATATTCCATATGCCTGAACTGAAAATACTCAAACCATAATTGTACCATATCAACACTTTTAATTTTCCTAATCTTTAAAATGAGTTTGTCTACCGATAACACAGTTATGTATGAAATAACACAATATGCTTGATGAACTTCTAAGTAAGTTGTTTACTTACAAGGGTTTCTAAAAGATACTAATTCTTTTAAAAAATGGAAAGCCTAGTAGAGAAGATGGGATTGGAGTGGAGAGGGCAGGTCAATTTACTGCACATGCCTGAACATTCCCAAGTCATTTAAATTCCAAGGTCATTTTTAGTCTGTTATTTTTCTGAAATAATTTCTGCAGAACATCTTCCTGAATCCCTTATTTCTAAAGATATATGTTGGCTATTTAACATATAATAGTATTAAGACTTTTTTCAAGACTGTGAAATCTATGCACAATTAAAGCTCAAAATGTTTCACATAAAATTCAAGAGTATTCCCTAAGTCAACTGTAAGTTTCCTGGGAATAATAAATAATGTAATTATTTAAGGAACCAGAGAACACAACAAATATCGTAATAGCTCTTGAGAAATAAAAAAAGGGGCAAACTCTTCTAATTAAAATAAGCAAAACTATTCATAAATAAGAAACTAAGTCAACCAGCACTATGATCACCCTGGCACAGGACCCCAGCGCTGGCTGGCATAAGGTGGCAAGGGGTCTCGCTGGGTGGCAAGGACTGTCGGGCCAGTGGGCGGAGGAAACGCTGCTCTGTTTCCCAAGGACTAATTCTCCTCCAAGACTGGGCTGCATCTCAGGCAAACGCACGAGTTACGTCGACCACAGAGCACTAGGAACTGCTAATCGGCAGGTGGACCCGTCGGCGCTCAGTCCTGACCAGCCTGGTGTGGTTGAGGGAGGCAGGGCTTCCAGACTATCCACGCTCTGAAGTGAACGAGGCAGGTATGAATCCTCAGCACTCTGCCAGAGACCTCACTGTTCTTGATGAAGCAGACATTCCCTATAATCAAGGACCACCGCGCTGAAACAGCCTGGTAATTCCGTTACCTGGGTTTGGTGCATGTGGTTCTGACTCTACCTGAACCTTCTACCTGGTGGTTCGCTTTTTAAAGGCCCTTTCCAGCACAGATGTACCTCTGGGGATTCCAGCACAGATGTACCTCCTGACGAACCTGGGACAAGGTGGTGGAGACCAAATGATGTG